TATATATATATATATATATATATATATATATATATATATATATATATATATATATATATATATATATATAGCACTACAAACTGAGAAAAAAGTTCTATTACTTAAAAAAAAGTATACCAACTCGATTAAACAGCTACATCCAATAGAAAACGGGTCGGATGGACAATCCCGATGATATAACAAGGTAAAAATATAATGACTAAATCAGACAAACAAATTTGATGAGTTAGAGAATACTAACATATGATAAGATAATGAACTAAACATCAAGGTGGGAGGCGAAAAGTAAAATATGTCTAAGGTATCTGAATCAATAAAATAAGATTTATGTAAGAAAAAATCTACCACCGTTATGAGAGACAAAAGATAAAATATGTATGTTTGAGTTAAAAAAAAACTAATCTGTATAAGTAAAAAGCTTATCACATTGGAAAGCACAAGACAAAATGTCTTAGGCGTGAGTTAGAGAAATTTAACCTGAAAAATATTATTATTTTATTTATTAATCTAAGTTTAAATATTTTTAGATTATTTATTTAGATTTAACAACTTAACAAATCAATTATTCTTTCACACTTCTATTCATCTGCGATTAGGATGTGGTTTCTTAGTCATGTTCCTGAAAACTGATCGATTAATTTGTGTTTTATTCTCATTATTACATGGTAAAAAATACTTAAGCGTATATCAAGAGTAGGTCAAGGTATTCATAAGTTTAAGCTCACTATCTAAAAGTTATTAGAGTGTCAACCAAATGGCCACAATTGTGATCAAATAGATTATATATATATATATATATATATAGGGGTACTTCCTGCTAATTTATAGGAATATTTGATGTAGGATTGGTTTGACCGGTCAATGACGAAAAAATTCCTCATTTAATTCAGCCAAATAGTATAGTTTTGATATTATGACGAGGTTTTTGAATACCGTCCTTCCAATCATTCATTATACCTTTAAATTGAGAATGATGCATTTCACAAAACATTGGCGGGTTCTATGCATTAATCTCATGCAAATCATTAATACCATGGTTTCGACCTAATTCACAAAACACTGTTTATCTTTATGATTTATGATGGCGAGCAAAGGAGCGAAAGACTTTGTCCCCATTTGGAGGCCGCAAGGAAAGCTGAGGCGAAGAGGAGCTCGGCACGCGTTCGAAGGGTCACGCCCGGCCATTAATGCGACTGAGAAATGACCTGCTATGTATTAAATGCCGCATGGGAACTCGTGACGAGGCCACGGGGCTGTCAAACCATTTCCCTGCGGTCGTCACGTCAAATAAGATATATATGTAAATAACAAATAATAAAATTAATATATATATATATATTCGATACATAAAGTGTCTAATCTTTGAAACGTGAGATTAGAGACCAAACTATATTCAATCATTAGATTTATTTATGTATCCCAATAGTATAATATAAATAAAGATCACAGACAAATTGGTGGACTATACCCAACAAAATACACGCTCAAAATGCTGCAAACGAGGCTAAAACCTGCTTCGTTTCCATGTCAGACAGGAAAAATCCACCAAAACGAGGGTGACTGCAACACTACATGCAGCAATTGCGTCGATTAGACCGAGTCAACACCCGAACCACCACCACCGTGGCTCCGTGTGTTAAGGTTTACCCACTTCCCCTGAAGGCGTTAGGGTTTTACCGGTGCTTCCTTCCATGCTTCCTTGCCACTTAGCCACGCTTTTCGCCACGCGGTTCGTCCTTGACTCGGCCCACAGGACAGCCATCACAGGTTCCTTTCTCAAGCTTCGCAGCGGAGGGCGGCCTTGATCTTCTGGACGGTGCAGGAGATGAGGTTATTCACGGTCTCCACCGACTCCACCGTCAGCTTCGCCGTCGGCTGGCTGTTCACCAGTATCTGGAACGCGACCGTGAGGAGCGAGCCTACCGCCTTACGACCGTCGGGGAGGATGGCGAAGCCGGAAGGGAGGAGCGCGACGTAGGAGGAGTCGCCGCCGCTCATGACGAGGTGCATGGCCGGGACGTCCACCGGGGCGTACACCACCAGCGACCCGGACGCGTCCGTGCACGTCTCCTGCAGTATCAGCATGCTGCTCTGGTCCGCGCTCACCGCCTGGTGCAAAACAGATCACCGAAACGTAAATCTTCACGAGAAGCTACAGGGTAAATTATTATGGCAGAATCATGGAGAAGACATTGGGCCACTGAGCCAGCGATAGAGTGCGGCACAAGGGTTGGAAAAAGGGTCGTCAGAAGACGCCAAAACAGAAATAGAACGTCACTCGGTCATGTCAATCTGGAAAGCGTCTTTTCACGTATCTATCATCCATTTCCCTGTATACGGTGCTTCCGCCACCGGAAGGTTAGGGTTTCCAGTGCTCAGTACTAATATTTTTCCTGGACCTTTCACCATCTGAGCAAGTAATAAAGACAGGCAGCAAAAGAGACTCCATTTCTATTACAGAAAATGTACTTAAAATATATAGGTATGAGTAAATACTGACGCTAGCACGGAGGAGGGTGACGGCGTTGCCGGTGGTGTCCTGTCCCTTGGCGATGTGGGCCATCTCCTGCATGGGCCCGCCGTTGGAGAGGATGTCCCACTGGCTCCGGAGCCGCTCGTTGCGGAGGAAGTCGAAGAGCCGCTGCGGTGCGACGGGGAGCCACACCGAGGTGGCGGCGCTCAGCACCACGCCCGGTGGCTCCCCGGGGTTGGCCACGCTCTGCCTCGTCATCACCCTCACGTCCTCGCCGATGTCGACGCCGCCGCGGAGCTTGTTCCACTGGTGGGCCGACGACGCGCACACTCCCGCGCAGAAGTTGTCGGTCATGCGCTGTGCCAGCTTCAGCATGCTCCTCCTCCCGCTCGGTGTGATCGCTGCGAGAGCACAGCCGAGGGTAAGCCCTCTCCAATTCAAATCACCTCCTCGCTTGTTATGTGTTGGGACTTACTAGTGTTGTCGCCGGGGGGGAGGGAGGAGGAGACAAGGACGGCCAGGGAGTGGCACTGGCGCTGGAGCGCCGCGACCCACCGGTGGGCGCCGAGCGCCATGCCGGAGCGCAGCAGCGGGCGGTACAGCGGGTGCACCGTAGCCTCGTCGTATTCCGCGTGCTCCACCCATGTGACCTGCGCACCACAGCGTCGGGTAGCTCATTAATGCCTTGTGTCCGCTACCATTGTCTACAGTGCCACCGCCTGCACCTTTGTTATCACACTAGTTTACTGTTTTACCTGACAAAACTTTGCACATAGTTCACTGCCCACCAAATAACACTCGACTCAGAAGGTTAGACAAATGCCAGAAGTGTAGTAACATGGAGCCAATAATGGAAGTGTTCATGTGGTATGCTTGCTCATTGCTCATGCAAAGATGTTGACATGATTCATGTTACCGGGGGAACAGATCGTAGAACAGCAACCAATTGTTTCAAGTACATGATATCTCGAAGTAATCCATGAAGACACCTTCACGAGGAGTTTGCACAAAAGACGAGGGGGTGGAAGAGTGTGGTCATTAAGAGAGATTTCCATAGTATGCCAGGAGGACTTGGAAAAACAATGGGATAGGAAACAGAAGGCAACCCTTCTCGTAGAATAATGATGTGAGAGCAGTGTTAGCCACATGGTTAGCTGAACAAATCATGATTTAATTGTGGGCGGATAGTAAACGACTCAGGGGTGATGCTATCGAGACTGGGAGAGAAGCATCTAAAACTCTAAAGAAACACGACAAGCAGTGAG